CTGTATCTCTCTCTGTCAAATAAATAAATAAAATCTTTAAAAAAATAAAAAAATTTTTTAAAAGGAGAGAAAATGAAATCATATGAAATGCTCAATTAAACCATAAAAGGCAGGAAAAGAGTGGAAGGAACAACAGGAAGAAAGAACAAGGACAACAAATAGAAAACAATAACAAATGTGTAGATATTTATCCAACTATATCAATAATCACTTAAAACGTCAATGGCCTGAAAACACCAACCAAAAGAAATTGTACAGTGGATAAAAAATCAGACCCAATTGTATATTTTCAACAAGAAACCCACATTAAATATGAAGACACATATAGATTGTGAGTACAGGGATGGAGAAAGTATGCCACACGAGACTAATCAAAAGAAAGCAGGAGTACGTGCATTGATTTCAGACAGAGCAGACTTCAGATCAAGGAAACTACCAGGAATAAAGAGTACATTACATAATGATAAAAGGATCAATACTATAATAAGACATAACAATCTTTAATGTATAGGCACCTAACAATAGAGCATCAAAATACGTGAAGCAAAAACTGATAGAATTGCACGAACAAATTCACTATCACAGTTAGAGACTTTAATACCCTCCGTCAGTACTGGATGGATCCAGCAGGCAGAAAATCAGGACACAGTAGAACTCAACAATACCATCAATCAACTGGATGTAATTGACATCTGCAGGCTACTTCATCCAACAATTGCCGAACACACATTCTTCTCAAGTTCACATGGAACATTCACCAAGTTAGACCACATTCTGTGTTATAAAATACCCGTTAGCAAATTTAAAAGAATAGGAATCATACAATATGTGTTCTTAGACCAAAATGAAATTAAACTAGAAACCAATAAAAGAAAATCTCCCAAATACTTGGAGATTAAATAACATACATCTAAGTAACACATGGGTCAAATAAAAAAAAAAAAATCTCAAGAAAAAAATTTTAATATTTTGAACCAAATGAAAATGAAAAGATTTTGACGGTGCAATGAAAGCAGTGTAGAGGGAAATTTACAGCTTTCAGTGAATGCATACATTAGAAAAGAAGAAAGATCTAAGATCAATTATCTAAGCTTCCTCCTTAGGAAACCAAAAAAGGAAGAAAGAAATTCAAAATAAGCAGAGGAAAATAAACAATAATTAGAGCAGAAATCAATAAATTGAAAACAAGAAATAATAGAGAAAATAAGCTGGTTCTTTGAAAAGATCAATGAAATTAATAAACCTTTAGCCAGGCTAACTAAAAAAAAAGTTTAGAGGATGTAAATTGCTAATAACATAAAAGAAAGAAGAGACATCATTATAGATCTCATGGACATAAAAAGATAATAAAGGAATACTATGAACTCTATGCACACAAATTTGATAATCTAGGTGAAACAGACCAATTTATTGAAAGACACAACCTGCCAAAACTCATACAAAAAGAAATGGACAATCTGAATAGGCCTGTATCTATTAACAAAATTGAATCAATAATTAATAACCTTCTAAAACAGAAAGCATCAGATTCAAATGCGTTCACTGGTGAATTCTGCCAGACATTTAAGGAAGAAATTATACCAATTCTATACAATCTCAGTGGATAGAAACAGAGGGAATACTTTCTACCTCATTATTTGAGGCCAGCATTTCCCTAATACCAAAACCAGAGAAAGACATGAGAAAAGAAAACTAAAGCAAAAGAAAAAAAAACTAAAAGAAAATCATTCATGAACATAGATGCAAAAATCCTCACCAAAATATTAGCAAGACAAATCCAATAATGTATAAAAAGAATCATATACCATATCAAATGGAATATATGTCAGATATCAAAACTGGTTTGACATTTGAAAATCAATTAATGTAATCTATTATACATCATAGGCTAAAGAAGAAAAATTACAGGATCATATCAATAGATGCAGAAAAAGCATTTGACAAAATTAAACTCTCATTCATGATAAAAGCTCTTGGCAAGCTAGGAATAGAGAGGAACTCCTTCAACTTGATAAAGAATATATACAGGGCACCTGGGTGACTCAGTCAGTTGAGCATCTAACTCTTGGTTTTGGCTCAGGTCATGATCTCAAGAAAATTTTTTAATTTTTTAAAAATTAAAGCCCCCCAAAATTAAAGCCCTCAGGCTCCACACTCAGTGTGGATTCTGCTAGAGATTATCTCCCTTTCTCTCTCCCTTTGCTCTTCCCCCTTCTCTCTCTCTCTAAAATAAATAAGTAAAATCTTCTTTTTTAAAAAAGGAGAATATATACAAAAAACCCCTATAGCTAACATTATATTTTATGATGAGAAACTAGAACCTTACACTCTAAAATCAAGAGCAGGGCAGGACCTCCTCGCTCTCACCAGTTTTTTTCAACATTGTACTGGAAATCCTAGCCAATGTAATAAGACAAGAAAATAAAATAAAAGGCATACAGATTGGGAAGGAAGAAATAAAACTGGCTTTATTCACAGATGACATGATTATCTATGTAGAAAATCTGAAAGAATTGACAAAAAATACTCGTGGAACTAATAAATGATTATAGTCGATCACTTTCCTACACACCAGAAATGAATCATTGGAATTTGAAATTTAAAACACAATACCATTTACAATAGCAGCCCCCAAATTAAATAAATATATAAATAAATAAATCTAACAAAATCTATTTGAAGGAAACTACAAAAATCTGATAACTGAGATCAAAGGAGAACTAAATTAATGGTGAGATAGTCTATGGTCATGAATAGGATTCATTGTCAAGATGTCAGTTCTTCCCTACTCAATCTATAAATTCAATGCAATCCCAATCAAAATCCCAGCAAGGCATTTTATGGATATTGACAAACTGATTCTAAAGTTTATATGAGTCAAAAGATCCAGAATAGCCAACCCAATATTGAAGGAGAAGAACAAACTGGAGAATTGACACTATTCAACTTCAAGTCTTACCACAAATCTATGGTAATCAAGACAGTGGGTATTCATAAAATAACAGACAAATAGATCACTGGAACAGAATAAAGAGCCCAGAAATAAACCCACAAAAATATGATCAACTGATCCTTGACAAAGGAGCAAAGACAATATAATGGATAAAGTGGTTCTTTTCAACAAATGGAACAGGTGCAAAAAAAAAAAAAAAAAGAATCTAGACACAGATTTTACACCCTTCCTAGAAATTAACTCAAAATGGATCATATACCCAAGTGTGAAACACAAAACTATAAAACTCCTAGAAGATAGCATAGGAGACCACCAAGATGAACCTGGGTATGGTGATAACTTTTTAGATACAACCCCAAAGTCACAGTCCATGAAAGAAATACTTGGTAAGCTGGACTTCATTAAAGTTAAAAACTTCTGCCCCATGAAAGACAGTCAAGAAGATGAGAAGACAAGCCACAGACTTAGAAAAAATATTTGCAACAGACACATCTGTTATCCAAAAAATACACACACACACACACAAACCCTCTTAAACCTCAACAATAAAAAAATTTAAAACAGCAGGGAAGCTGAACAGATTTCTCACCAAAGAATATATTTACAGATGGCAAAGAAGTAGATTAAGAGATGCTCAACATCATATGTCACCAGGGAACTGCCAATGAAAACAATAAGGTACCACCGCACATCTATCAGAACAGCCAAAATCCAGAGCACCACCACCACCAAACACAGGGAGGATGAGGAGCAGCACTCGCCAACGGTGGGAAGGCAGAATGACCCAGCCACTGTGGAAGGCAGCTTGGCTGTTTCTTACCAAAACAAACATACTCTTACCACAGTATCCAGCAATCATGCTCTTTGATGTCTACCCAAATGAGTTGAAAACTTACACCTATATAAACACCTGTATACAGATTTTTATAGCGGCTTTACTCATAATTGCCTAACCAAAATGTCCTTCAGTAGGTGAATAAATAAACAAGCCAGACAATGGACCATCCAGACAATGAGCTACCAAGCTGTGAAGTTTGGAGGAAACTTGAATGCATATCCCTGAGTGAAGGAAGCCAATCAGCAAAGGCTACGTTTGTACGATTCCAACCGGAGGACATTCTGGAAAATGCAGAACTACGGAGACAGGAAAAGGACCAGGGGGGCCAGGAGCTGGGGAGGAGAGAGGGACAGGGGAGCACGAGGATGTTGAGGGCAGTGAAGCGACTCTGTGGACGCCATAATGGTGGATCCGTCCCTTACACGTTTCTCCAAATCCACACAACGCCCCACACAAGAGTGAACCTCAAGGCCAACTGTGGTCTGCGTGACAGTGACGCGTCAACGTAGGTTCATGGATCGTAACAAACGCACCACTGGTGGGGATGGTGAGAGTAGAGGAGGCTGGGGGTGAGGGGCAGGGTGTGTATGGGAAATCCCTGTACCTCCTGCCCAACTGGACTGTGAACCTAAAAATGCTCTGAGAAAGTGAACAACAAAATACTTATTTGGGTTTTGTAGGCCTAACGCCACGTGGCCCTACACCACGCAGGAAAGCCATTCCCTGTCACCCTCTTCTGCAGGGTGGGGGACAACACCGCCCTAGACACGTGGCCCCACTGACCCTCCTGGCACAGCCCTCCGCGCACGGTGCAGCCTTGGGCCCCACACACACCTTTCTTGCTGCTGGAGCCTGGCTCGCAGGCCTCCCCCTTGATGCTGGGTTTGCCTCCACTGTAGTTCTGCTGGCTCACCACCCACTTGAGGATGCTGGAGGCCACTGTGCGCCGGAAGTCGTCTGAAAGGACAGCAAGGCCTCGCCCCTCTGCCGGCGCTGGGGACCAGGGACCTCGGCCAGCCCCAGCTGTCCTCAGCCTCAGTGCCCCACGGCCTGCAGCGGGCTGGCTTCCTGCCCTCACCGCCTCGAGGGGCCGTTCACTCTGCCCTCAGCCCGCGCCTCCAACCTGGTCCTTCTCCCTCCCGCTCCTCTGCAGATGGGAGTCTAATATACCTCCACCAGCACACCCCTCCCAGCCTCCCTCCTGCTCTCCCCACCCCCACCCAGGGCCAAGCCCAGGGAGGCCACGTGCTTGTCCTTGTCCTGGCTCCCTGTGCCCTCAGCCCTGCACCAGAGGACAGAAGCCCCTTGCAGACACACGAGGACCCTCCCCATCCCAGGAGGCTCTCTGGACCTCCTTGGACATCCTGGCTTCCACGGCTCCCGGTGTGGATGTCCAGAGGGGCCCTGCCACACCCACCTGGCACGGAAGGCAGCTCTGGGTCCCACAGACCCAGGCTTGGGGCTGGCCTGGCTCTGAGTGCTCTTGGGCCAGGAAAGGCGGCCCACATCCCCGTCAGCGAGCCCACGCTCTGAGGCCTGTCTTAGCCAATTCCACTCCCACGCATGCCCTCTGGGAGGTCTGCAGGAAATTCTGGTACCTTCTCACCAAAACCAAACCAAAACCTGCTCCTTGCTCATCTCAGCAGAGGAGGCCCCACCTGCCGGCCAAGCAGTTGCTGCCTCCTTGGAAACATCCGGAACCTGCGCTCCCTTCCCCAGCTCCTCCAGGGCCCGGAGCTTCTCACCTGAGTCTCCTTCCACCAGAACAAATGCCCCTGAGCTTTCCCGCCAACTCCTAGACCCTGTGCCCTGTGGGCACGTGGGCACATGGCCTCCTCCAGCCTGGTCCCCTCAGACCTCCCCCCCTCCGGGTCGCACCAGCACCCCCTCTCTGAGATGCCCCTGCCCACCACCCTCCCCTCCACTGCACTTCTCACCTCCAGCCCCCGTGGACCCTGCCTTGTCCTGCCTGCATCTGTTTGCTCCTGGGAGCCCCGGGGTGGGGTCAGGACATACGGGACAGGTGCTGGTAGATGCCACATCTCCATGGCCCCCAGATCAGGCGCTCAGAAAACACGGTCACCCCAAATGTACACTGCCCACCTGCTCTGACCTTCACTTTCTGTCTCTCTTGGCAGGTCAAACCAGGAATCCTCCCTCGGTCCTCAGGCCAGAGCCCGTGGCCCACAGGTGCTCAGACCTGGGTCCCAGGACCATCCCCACGCTGACCTCCCCCAGAAACCCAATCAGAACCAAGCTGCTGACACGCGGCTCCACAGCCTCCACCAGCCTCCACAGCCTCCACCAGCCTCCCGTGCCTCCTGCTTTGCCGATGCTGCCCATGGAGGTGTCTGGACCAGCCCTCACCCCTCGAAATGGAGCCGAAGCCCCTGGGCCTTGGGACAGGACCAGGCCGTCTGCCATCACCTCCCACCAGTCCCCGGCCCTGCAGTGTAGCCCAGCCCACCTCCCTTCCAAAGGCTCCTGTAGCCCCTCAGCGGGAGGTGGACCACAGAGGGGCCCTGACACCAGGTGCTCTCCGCCCCCGGCCACTGACTTACCCAGGAACTCCTGCTTCTCGCTCTCAGTGCAGAGGCAGTAACAGCGTGGGAAGAAGGAGTCAGGGTTGGCTTGGACATACCATGGCAGGCTCCTCATGTTCACACACAGCCCGATCTCCAGAGACAGCGGCACGTCAGGCCCCCACAGGCCACCTGCTGGTCCCTCAGACCAGCCTGAATGCCCACAGGTCTGGCTGGCAGCACCCGCTCCAAGGGGCTCTTGGAGCAGAACCCCCCCGGCCTCCCTGCCCCTCCTGCCCCCAGCCAGCTGGTTCAAACAAGAGGGTGACCCCTGTGCAGGCCAGGGCCATCTGAGGGCACAGGGTGGTAGGTCCCACCTTTATCTCCCAGGTTCCCTAACTGGTGTTGGGCCCAGGCCCCAGGAAGGAGGGAGCAAGCTTCTGGGCACACTCACCACGGGCCCCATGTGGGAAAAAGTGCCCGGTGCCCCCTGGGAGAGGCAGTGCCTGCTGGGCACCCTGGTGGCCACGCTACATGGGGGCCTTTGTGGGGAGCCCAGCCCGACTGGGCCCCCTGCAGCTATCGCCCACACCCTGAAGGAGGCCAGCAGCTGAGTCCGGGGGAGGATGCATGAGGCCAGACCCCCACAGGGAGCCCTGGGGTGGTGTGAGCCTCACCCCGACCCCGTGTCATCCTTGCCTGTTGGGGGGATGGTCTCCTTGTTGCCCAGAAGCCCCTCTCCCCAAGCTCTCCCACCCGGGTACAGGCAGGCCTGTCCACCCTGGGCTGACCCCACCCCTGAACCTCAGCCCTCAGAGTCACAGGATGGGGCCGTGGGACCAAAAGGCGGTGAGGACAGGAGGTGCCCCCGCCGCCTGCAAGCAGAAGGCCCTGTGCAGGGGGGAGGTGGCCTGGCTCTCCCGGGGACCCAGGGCCTCTCCAGAGTGCGGAGCTTCTGCGGGACTGTGGTGGCAGCCCCCACCTGCCCTGCCTGAGGTCTGGCCCGCGTACCCAGAGGTGGGACTCAGGGTTAAGGGCACATGGGGCTCTGGGGATGCGAGTGCAGTAGGTGCTGAGGGCCGCTGGACACTGGTAACGGGAAGTGTGGCCTCTGCCCGGGCAGCAGTCATCCTGGGGAGGAGCCCCAAGGTGACCAGTCCATTCGAGGCCCTCCCAAACTCAGCCACTGGACTTGTAGGAGGCAAGGCACTGCCCTGCACCTGCGCGCGCCCACCTCCCCCAAGCCCTCCCTCTCACCTTGGTGGTGAAGGAAGCTGTCCTCCCGTAGTGATTCAGCATCTGGTCACCGCTCAGGCTGTGATAGTCAATGACGTCCCTTTTGATAGTCCAGAGGAAGTACGGCATTTCGTTTTTTACCAACCTGGACTGGCAAGAAAAAGACCCTCATCAATACCCTATATCCAAGGTTCATATCTTTGGATGTTGGGATGTAAGTAAGAGTGAACGAAATCAGACTTTTTCATTCTAGTTAGTTAGCATATATGGTAAAATCGGTTTCAGGTGTAGAATTCAGTGATTCATCACTTCCATGCGACAGCCGGTGCCCCTCATGAGAGCCCTCCTTAATGCCCATCCCCATCTAGCTGCTCCCCCACCCCCTCCCTCCATCAACCCTGCTTGTTCTCTTTCATTAAGAGTCTTTTATGGTTTGTCTCCCTCTCTTTTTTTTTCTTTCCCCTATGATCATCTGTTTTGCTCCTTAAATTCCACATATCAGTGAGATTATATACTATTGGTCTTTGTCTGACTGACATATTTCACTCAGCATAATCTCCTCCAGTTCCATCCGCATCGATGTAAATGGTGGGTATTCATACTTTCTGGTGGTCGAGTAATATTCCACTGTGTATATGGACCACATCTTCTTTGTCCATTCATCTGTCGATGGACATCGGGGCTCCTTCCACAGTTGGGTATTGGGCTCATTGCTGCTGTGAACATTGGGGTGCAGGTGCCCCTTTGGATCCCTATGTTTGTATCCTTTGAGCAAATACCCAGGAGTGCAGCTGCTGGGTCATAGGGTAGCTCTATTTCTAACTTTTTGAGGACCCTCCATATCATGGAAATCAGGTATTAAATGACACTGGAAGTGTGTGGTCTGTGACTCTCTGGTCCGGGAGGCTGGCAGCGGTGTTCCTTGGGGAGCCACTGTGTGCTGCACTGGGGGAAACCACCCGCATGCGGGGCTTCTGCTCTCAGGAAGCAAGGGCGGGCTCCGCACCACCAGCAGCCCCCGTGTGTGCGGCTGAGTGAGGCCAGGGCTGCCCGCCCCGTGGGTGTCCTTGTGGGGTTCCGGGACATGCCACACGGGGCCATGGGGTGAGTGCACTGCCTTGTGGCCTGGAGACTGTGGGAGCCAGCCTCCTCCCTGCCCCCACTCCTTCAGAGCCAGCGGCCAGGGCCACCGGAGTGCAGGGACCCAGATGCCCTTGGCGGCTGATTTTACAAACAAGAGCACCTGTGTGCTCAAAAATTCTTACCAAAGAGATACAAGGAAAGGAAAACATTTTCCAAAATTCTGACACCTTGAAGACCCTGCGGGGTCATTCTCTCTAGACCAGCATTTGAGGACACACCTACTATTCTGTAACACGGGCTAATCTACCTTGACCCCATGTTAGGGCAGGACTGGGATCCTCCCATCCCGATGCCAACAAGAGTGCCCGGAGGGAGCGGGGAGCTGGCCGCCAACATCACTTCCTAAAACTTATCCCAAATGCCGGACTCAGCCTTCCTTCCTACTCCAGAGCGACATCCACAGCTTCTGTTGTCACTTTCTCCCATTTGTTCAAGTGAGGCATGAACCGTCAGACAAAAGTATGAAGGGCAGCACGCAAGTGCACACACCTACACGGGCACACATGGACGCACACAAGCGCACACAGATGCACACGCAGACACACACGAGTGCACACGGACATATGAGCGCACACAGAGATGCACACGAGCACACGCACGCATGCACGCACACGGGTGCACGCGGGCACACACGAGCGTGCTCACACATACACATGAGTGCAAGCATGCACATGCGTCCAGCAGCTTGGTGTGACCGGCTTTGCCACCCCTCCCCAGGACACGGCCCAGGGAAGGTGACAGTGTGAGGAGGCGTGGGGAGATCGAGGCCCGCCTGGCCCATGGGAGCTCAGGTGTGGGGACCTACCATCACATCATGGATGTCATCTGTCTTCTCCAAAGCCTCTTCTTGGTTTTCTTTGCCTTCAGCACATTTATGTTCTGCAAACACAACCCCCAGAGAGCCGTCAGCCTGTCTGGGCCCGAGCATCTCAGCACGGCCCCCACGCCACATAGCCAGCAGCCTCCACGGCCACGGCGCACTTGCTGACGCCTCAGCAACTCATCTCCAGGGGCCTTTCATCTTCCCGCCCCAGTGTTCACTGCATGGCCCCTCCGCCAGGTGCAGTCCCAGGGTCCGGGACCCCAGGTGTGGGGCGGGACAGACAGCCTTGGGATAAGTGTGGTGGAGAGGGGCGCGGGGAGCAGGATGGTGACAGGAGCTGGCCCCGTGCAGACCCCAGGCCCAAGAAAGTGCAGATGCTCTCTGCAGAGTGGGAGCTGGGCCTTGGGCAGAGTGACCGAGGAGTGACCAGTGGGGACTCCTAGAGGAGAGACAGACAGGGCAGGGCCACTGAAGGATGGTGGCAACTGCCCAGACATGGGAGGAGGAGGCCTGTTGTGGGCATGGACAGGGGGACACCGAGAAGTCGTGGGCATGGACAGGAGGACACTGAGAAGCAACCAGACCAGGCTTTGAAAGCACAGGCCTGGTGTGGGGATACCTGGGGGTAACGGGAGGGCAACGGCCTCTGCCTGCCCAGGGAGACCCCCACGCACGCAGGGGAGGCCCAAGTCACAGGCTCTTCAGGCCAGAACAGCACTCCCCGGAGAGGTGTGACTCACTCTGGCCCTCTGACAAACACGCACACAAGCCTTGCACCAAGAGACAAGACGCCTTCGATACTCTACCAGGCACCCCCGCACTGTCATCGTCTGCATTTGGGACGACCTTGGGCAGAAAGTGGAACTTCTTCTCCACCCAGCCCTTTCTTCGAAGGGTGGCCCGTATCACTGGGTAGTGCCCGTAGATGGAGAAAATCTTCTTTTCCTCAAATTGCAAGAGCATATTTTAAATTAAAGAATGAAAGACAAGGTGGTTAATTGTCTGTGAGGGGAGCCTTCAAGGCAGAGTGAGACAGATTGTGCCAGTGGGTGGGATGACACTCAGGTCCCGCTCCAAGGAAAACACGCAGAAACATCCAAGAACGCACACAGGCACGGAGCAGGGCCCTCCTCTGTGGCGCGTGTTCATTCTTTGTGGGCTTTGCACACGTGGGTGTCACTCCCACGAAGGCTAGGAGGCCCCGCACAACCAGGACCACGGGCGCGTGCCCAGCTCAGGGCAGGTCCTGGTCTGGAAGGTGGGGCTGAGGCCAGAGGCCATGCACTCTAAGGCTTTCTTTTCTCTACAAAGGTGACAGTCTCTCGGGCTGGGGGCGAGGGGACGGGTGCCTGTGGCTCGAGGAGGAGTGAGAGGGAAGAGCCGTTCAACCACCCAAGAAGGGCCAGAGGGACAGGAGTGCCAAGAGCATGAGGCCAGCACCAAGGAAGCTGGGGACTCTGCCCGTGACTGTGGAAATGAACACAGACACTGGGACCAGGCAGGGAGGTGGCAGTGGGTGGTGTGTACCGAGGCCTTCCCAGCTGAGGGATGGGAGACGGGACAGTGACGGTCATGCTGGGCCCTGGGCCCACGCTGCGGAGGTACGGCCTGTGCACCTTCACCTGGCAGGGGACAGAGGGGGACGGCCACACGGCAGGGTCAGCAGTTAGCTCAGTGCCTCACGAGTTTGTGGGGGCAGGCAGGGCAGGAGGGGAATGGCTCAAACTCATGGCGTCCCTAATTAGATGACTTTGAATGAATCAAAAGACAAGACTATACTGGGTGGGCCTGGCCTAATCAGGTGCACCTCTTAAAAAGAGGGTCCAGGGCATCCCTGAAGTTGGAGAGTCAAAGCAGCAGAGACCTTCTCCCCAGTGCCGGCTCTGAAGAAACCAGCTCTACTGGAACAGGGGAACGAATCCTGCCAACCAGCCAACGGGGCCTGGAGGCGGATCTTTGCCCAGCTGAGCCTCCGGATGAGACCCCAGCCCAGCTGATGCCTCATTTCAGCCTCGAGAGATCCTGAGCAGAGGCCCCTGAAGAAGCTGTGAGATAATAAATGTTTAAGCGTTTAAGTAGCTAAGCTCATGGTGGTTTGTTACACAACGTCGGTAGCAGACATATCCTATAGTTCCCACAAGGAGGACCTGCGCCCCACACCCAGGAACACATACAAGAAAGCTTGTGTTGGGCCAGAAGCTGTGAGTTCCAGTTCTAGCACCCACAGGAAAGACCCAGCAGGTCAGAGGACCTCTCTGAGCCTCCTTCTACACAGAAAACCTGTCCAAAGCTGCCCTCGTCCCCCACGGGGCTGTGCACCAGGACAGAGGGATGGGATGAACTTGGCCACAGAGCGGCTGCCACGTGCAGAGACAGGCAGGAAACCTGACCCCCAGCAAGGACGCCCACCTTTTACAGTCAAACTGAACAACTTCAGAAAAGCTGATTATTTTAATCAACAGGATAAAATTCCTCAGGGAACTACAAAAGGAAGAAAAACGGAGTATAAGACTTGTAACGTACAAGAGAGGGGAAATGGAATTTAAAATGTAATCAGTCCACACAGAGCCACAAAATGAGCAGACAGGGCAGACTGAACGAGGGAAGGAGGCAGGGACACACGGGGATGCCCGAGGACCCCAGGGGTGCAGTCATAGATAAACCCACCAAAGGCTCCAGGTAAAAGGTGAAGAGTGCCAGGCTGGATTTCTAAAATCTCAATCTATGATGTTTACAAGAGAAAATCAAAAGCACAAGCATACAGATAGGTAGAACATAAGAGGATCTAAATATGAGACAAAACAGCCTTTGTGACAAAATAAACCCCTCAAGTAAAGAAAATCATGCCATAATTTACAAAAAGATTCAATTCGCCAGGAAGATGCTTTTGTATGCTCCTAGTAAGAGGGCTATAAATTATATAAAGCAAAATTTGACAACTACAAAGTGAAGGAATCCACACTGATAAAAGGGTATTTAACATGCTTCTCTCAGTCAGTGACAGTCACAGACCAGAGATTTCCATCAGCCTCAAAGACTTGAACAACGCAAATAACCAGCTCTGTCCTGATGTCTATGAGTGGGGTACCCCACATCAACTTTCACATAAACGCACAAAATGCTGGGCGTAAAGCAAGTCTGAACACACTTCAATAGAATAACATTATGCAGATTACATTTTCAACCACATGCAACCAAGCTAGAAATCAGTAACAAAATAAATAGAAAAAAAAAAAAACAATCATTTATCCAAAGGATACAAACATAGTGATCCGAAGGGGCACCTGCACCCCAGTGTTCATAGCAGCAATGTCCACAATAGCCAAACTGTGGAAAGAGCCAAGATGTCCATCGACAGATGAATGGATAAAGAAGAGGTGGTATATATATACAATGGAATATTATGCAGCCATCAAAAAAATGAAATCTTGCCACTTGCAAAGACATGGATGGAGCTAAAGGGTATTATGCTAAGTGAAATAAGTCAACCAGAGAAAAACAATTATCATCTGATTTCATTCTTATGTGGAGTTTAAGAAACAAAACAGAGGAGCATAAAGGAAGAGAGGGAAAAATAAGACAGAATCAGAGAGGGAGAAAAACCGTAAGAGACTCAACCATGGGAAACAAACTGAGGGTTGCTGGAGGGGAGAGAGGGGACGGGGTAACTGGGTGATGGGCATTAAGAAGGGCACGCGATGTAATGAGCACTGGGTGTTATATGCAGCTGACGAATCACTAAATTCTACCCCTGAAACTAACGATACAGTATATGTTAATTAAATTGAATTTAAATAAAAAGTAAAAAATTAATAATAAAATAAAATGAGAAAATCTTGTATACATGAAAAAAATAGGAAAAAAACCCAGAAGTATAGACAAGAACTCTACTTTTAAGTAACCCACAATCAATGAAAAGTAGTAATATGAATTATAAAATACTTTGAACTACATCTCAACTAAAGTACTATAAAAATAAAAGCTTGTGAAAGCAGCTAACGAATGCTTAGAGGGATGCTTATAGCCCTAAATGTTCACCTGTTTTTAGGCTTCAGTAGAAAACCTGAGAATTAACGAGCTGGTATGGCTCGTTGGTATGAAATCCCAGAGAGCACACACAGCCACCAGGATCAGGCAGGTGACACGCTCCCGCTCCCCAGGGCAGGACTGCTGGAGACAGCGCACCTGGTGCATCCAGCCCGTCCCATGGCGACCGGGGTTCACGACCCGTGCTCTGCAGGTGCACAAAGAGCCTCAGGAGCATGTCCCCGTGGATGATGCGCTGGACTTCCCGAGCCCTTCTCGCCCAGCCTTCTGAGCGAGGGCCGGCAACGCAGGGCAAAGCCGGAGAATACCACCTTTCCCCAGCAAAGGCTCCTGGTGGGGACAGGAGCCGGACCCTGCTGCCCCGTAAACAACAGGACATACCCCCGCTCCCCTCCCCCTGGGACCCAGCGCTGGGGTCCAGGGCCAACCCAGGCTGGCGGACTGAGGGCAGCTGGGAGCTCAGCACTCAAAGGCAACCCACTCGCTCTCCAAATTCCAAAATAAGTTTCCACGTTTAAAAAGTGCCCCCCCCCACCTTGGGGTGCCTGGCTGGCTCAGTCTGAATAGCGCGGGACTCTTGATCTCCGAGTCATGAGTTCGAGCCCCACGTGGGGTGAAGAAATTACGGAAATAAATAAAACTTTAAAAAAGTACACCCCCGAGCCCCAAAAGACATTTACCTTGATGGCCTTTTCTGTTAATTGTCTTGCTATTTTGTATCTGTCTAATTTGGGGGAAGAAGTCAAGTCTTGGGAAATTTCTTGTTTTAATTCTGCAGAAGAGAAAAAGACATCCAGGCTAAGGTAAAAGTGCATGGGGGATGCTTAGAAAGGAAGTCCAGCCCACCCGCACCCCATCACCTTCCGCCCAGCCCACCTCCGGCCCTCAGACCCTCCTCCTGCAAGCCCTAAGCCCCCTCCCCAGGCTGCGCCATCCCCTGGCCATGTCCTCTCTCTGACCCCCGCCCACCTCCCCTGCAGCTCTGGCTTGGGCACCCTCTCTCCTTGCTGTGCTCCCCACCCACTTTGTGGCCATACCACGCCATGACCACCCCCCTCAGGCTCTGTCAGGGCCAGCCCTCCCCGCTCTTTCCCCTGACTATGGCGACCAGACTGCCAGCAGCACACACCTTAAAAATTAAAATGAAAACCCTCCTCTCTGTACCCCACACCTCTCCACACTCCTGCCTTCCACCTCTCTCCACACCCCTGTCTGCTGGACTCCACCGTGGACACCACTCATGCTGAAGTCATACATACGCAAGCCGATCCCTTGTCACTCCCTTAGGCCCTGGTTCCTGGGAGCACCGGACACTTGGCTGGCCAGCCCTGCTCCCCTTGGCCCCCCCTTCTCCTCCTCACTGCAGCCCTTTTTCTCTCTCTATGCCCTAACCTTGGAAGTGCCCAAGCTGGATCTCAGACTCCATGCTTCCTGTCCACACCCACTCACTGGAATTTTCAATTCCACCATGCCCAGACTCCTGGAACGTACACCTTCCACCCACACCGCCAGACCTCCTGACACCTCCAGGACCCCTGATGCCTGGATGTCCAGGGAACATCGCAGGCAGGACAGGCCAGCAGCAGACACCCCTCCACCCGCCCGCTGTCTTCCTCCCCCTGTGGGCCCCAGAGACCCACAACTGCACAGCCAATCAATACAGACAGAAGCAGCAAAGCCCTTCAGTGGGGATGGTGTTCTGACAACTGCATGTTCACATGCAGAAAACAAATCGAACCCCAGCTGACAACACATAACAGTTCATCTGACGTGGACCCCTGGCCTCCATGTGAAAGCTAGACACACAAAGCTTCTGGCAGAAAGCACAGACGTGGATCAGGCAAAAAGCACCAGCAAAGTTGGCAAAATGACATGTTCTGCTCTGTTAAGAAAAGGAAAATGTAAAGCACCGACTG